GCCAGTTCTGGACATGCTGAGAAGAAGGGCCAGCTTTTTGGACTCTTCAGACTGTGGAGGGGACTCGGTGTTGGTAGTTATAAAGGATGGAGTGATACACATCTTGTGAATTGTTTTAGAAATCCCCTTGGAGATTCCTCGAGTCCCCCTATACACACACACACCATGGGCCATGGGCTGTGTGACCTTGGGTATGGCAGAATCACTCATGCTAAGCATGTCACCTCAGAATTGGCACTTGGGCCCACTTGGATGTAGGTCATTTTGTTTCTAAGCTGAATCCAATGACAACCTGATCTGAGGCTCCTGCCAAGAATGCTAATGGTGGGCTGATCAATGTGCCTTGGGGCTCTGGGTCCAGGGGATGCACCAGAAGCCACATGCCATAGAATTCTGGGAGGTTGATACCCTGTCCCTGACCCCTAGGCCTTCTGCTCTCACTAGGTATCCAGCTCAGTTGGCCAGGGAGCATAGAAGTTGTCTTTATTTATCTTGACCTTTCCATGTGAGTAATTTTTATCGTTCCATTAACTAGTGAGACCATTTGCAAACCGCCAAGCAAAATATATTACCACCGACACCTCAGGGACTTGTGGGTCATCTCGGGTGGAATGCTAATAGAACTGAGAATTGATTCAGGCCCCCCACGTGTGAGGATCAACAGATCTCAGGCCACTTTGGGTCAGGGAAGGACCTGTGTTGTCTCAGCAGTTTGCAGAGGAGACCCCAAGTCTGGTTCATCTATCTTTGTCTGTGCCACATTCTGCATCCTGGATCCTACAAGCTCACCTGCCCCAGGACTGATGACCCAGTCCATGGTCTGCACCACAGAGCACACTTGTCCCCATGCCAGTCTCCATAGGTGTCGGGATTCTTCTCAAATGTGGTTTGAATCAGCCGGAAAGCCAGCAGCTGCTGCCGTGGCACCCTGACACCCCAGAGCTGGAGGGAACATCCAGATTCTGTCATTTTAGACAGAGAAACTGAGGCCCATTGGAGGGAGGGGCTTCAGTGACAGAGCTGGTGCTGGGACTTTCTTCTCTCAAACTGTGTCCAGGTGGCACTGGAGCCTGTGGGTAAGAGCAGGCCACTGTGAGTTCACACCTCGGGGTGGCCTCCCGTCAGTTAGGGCTGTGGCAAGAAACAGTGGCACGTTGCGGAGCCACCAAGGAGAGTGAGTGAGAAGGTGGTTATTTGTAAGCACGTCAACAATGAGGAGAGACTACCATCCCCAAGCCCAGGAAACCCTGCTGGGACCTTGAGCCAGAATGGAGAAGGACCATCCCACGGGCTGCCTCCTCACGGGTGAACCTTGCCTTTTGCCACCCCCCACCCACTGCTGTTTCCCATCCAGAAACCGGAAGCCAAGGAAGCCCCTTAATGCCATCGATGCAGGTCACTTCCCAGCAGAGGAGGGTGGAGAAGGTGGGGCGTGGGTCTGGAGAGGCAAATGGAAGAGATCAAGCACATGCCTCCTCAAGGGGTAAAACTTGGTTCTCGATGCACGGGGTACTGGTGGCATTTGAATTTCATGGGAAGGAAAATTAAGAAAAAAATGTCTAAAAAATCCTGCTGTGGAGGAGGGGGCAATAAGGAACAAAAAGGTTTGGGAGCACGGATCTAGCACATTCTCTTGCTAACTGTGTGGATTTGCCCTTCTGCGTCTGTTTCCCAGCTGGGTGTGGAGAGCGGGCTGGACGACCTCCCGGGTTACAGAGGACCATGTGCACTCAATGCCTTCTCATGTGGCCCTTTTCCCCTTTCACTCACCATAGCTTCTAGCTCACTAGAGATGCTCCTGGCACCCCTGGGTCCAGCCCCAGCATCCTGGATCAGTCTTTGCTCTTAACCACCCATGTCCTGCTTCTCACTAAAGATACTTGTAGCATGCCAGGATATTAGGTCAGGACAGGGGCAGGAGGGTAGATGGGGCTGGGGAACTGAGAGCAGCAATTCACATTTCTCAATGGGGCTGGGAAAGGGGGAGTGCCACCTCCAGTCACATAGCTGGTCACATGGGAGCCTGCATTAGACTCCCTGCCCTGAGAACCAATGGACACACAGCAGTGGGAAGAGGGACTTGGCAAAAGCTCTGTGTAGAGATATAGGAGCCAGAGAAGGAGGCCAGGGGGCGCAGAACCCTAGCCCAGACCCTCCCAGTTGTCAGTCAGAGTGGGATCATGGCTCAGAAAGAACTTAGGGGACCCTCCACTCTAGGTCAGCTGTGTGTAAACCCTAGGCCTCTGTGGAGGGGCTGCCTACCACTGGCTTCCCTGGGGTCCTGGTTAGGAGGGGGCTGCCCCAGCCCCAGGGAGGGTAATGGAGCCTCGGAGCCTCACCTTCATCACCCCCTAGGCAACTCTCCCCACAGCACCCCAGCCCCGCCCCATCAGGTGTTCAAACACAAGTGGCTCAAACGTCAGACACGACATCGGAGCCGCAGGAATTCACCATCAATATTTCAGGCTTCAACACCGTCTGAACAACACTTATGAAATGTGATGGGTTGAGGTTTTAACAAGCACAGAAATAATACCAGGATGATAAGAAGCAGAAGTGGGCAGTGATGTCTAGAGCGGGACACAGCCATATCCCTGGACGCAGGCCAAGGTTTGTGGGATGACCGCCCATGTGCAGAGTCACCAGGGCCTAGTGTGCTGGACACAGCTCTGAGTCGGGGCCTGTGTCTGCAGTCTGGCAGGAGGTGCTTGGCAGACTGTCTCTCAGATCCCTGGAACTTTGGAGGGGACCGTGGAAAAGGCAGTGTAATGTGGAGCTTGCTCAGAGCATCCAAAGGCCATTCCCTGCCAGCGAGGGAGAACGTGCAGGAGCTAGGCCAGTGGTCCATTCTCTAGGGTCAGAGAGCAGAGAAGGTGACAGGGCACTATGTGGCCCTCCTTCTCAGACTTCCCTTCCCCTCCCTCCGCAGATACCCAGTATATCAAAGCAGCTCTTCTCCTGCCCTTGCTGGTCGTCTTGGGGACAGCTGCAGCACTCTATGCTGCCCACTCTGCACTGGCTCTTCCAGCCCCCGAGCCGTGTGGTCCAGTGTGAGAGAGACGTGAAAGGCAAAGGTCCTGGTCTTGAGTGTTTCGCCTCCTCCTCCTTCAGAGGCCTCTCTCTCCAGGAGCCTCATCCTTGAACTTCTCCCTTCCTGGCCGAGAGGCTGCACACTGTCCATGAGGTCACGGACACTCAGGCCTCAGGTTCTCTATGTTTAAGGTCAAGGGCTGTACACGATTTTTTTCTCTGAGGTCTAATCCAGCCCCGACACTTGGCAGTTCACGATTCACTGCCTGCTCTCACTGTCTTGGCAGAGACCCCGGGGATCAAGGTGTTGCTCTCTGCAGTTGGAGGTGTCACTGAGCTAATCTGACAAGCTGTAATGCAAATGGGCCCAGCTGTGGCGTGTGCAGGGCCTTTGCCTGTGGGGTAGGGATGGGGGACAAGGAGCTGCTCCAAAGACTGGGAGCTGTCTGGGCCAAGGGGCTGGCATTGATGGGGAGCTAGGGGCTGGACACCTGGTGTCCAGTGTGTGCTGGGGACATTGACCCACTAAAACTTGTTTGGAAAGTCCAGTGGGGACAGGAGTGACTAGTTGGGGTCTCACTAGTGGCCAGGAGAGCAGCTCACTGTGGCTCTAGGTAGAGCTGGCACCTGGGGTCAGGGTGTAGCCTGGTTCTTCAGTGAAAGCTGGGTTGGCCGTTCCTGGGGCTCTGGGGAAGCAGGGTCTGGCACTGTGGATATCTTCAGCACAAACCAGTGCTCTCCCTGAAAGCCACTTGTACAGAGAAGGACTCTGGTGGCAGGCCTCTCCAGACATGCCACCTTGCAAACTTGCTGTGGACAGACTGACTCCAGACCACTGAGTCCTGGGCATCTGAAATGGCTCTCTTGAGGCAACAGGTTCAAGGTCAGGCTCTATTGGTATGGGCCAAAGGACACCATACCAATCACAAAAAGGACCTTCTTATCTAACCTAGGAGTGCCTTCTCAGTGGACATTGGAACAGGTGGATGGGTATTGGCAGGTCAGTGGCAGTCCCTGACAACTCACCAAGGGGGCCACCCACTTTCCCTCCCAGGCCAAAATGGCAAAGAGAAGGTCTCTAGTTGCTTTCAGGAAAAAAGCCCTTCATGTAGATCCCATCTGGGACATTGACAGGGTCGATCGTAGCAACTGATTTCCTAAGCCTTCAAAATTGGTAGTGGGTGTTTTCTCTAATCCTTCACTGATGGATTAGATGGTGGGGCAGATCTCTCAGGAGCAAAGGATGACCTTGAGAAAATGTGGATTCTGTCAAAAGAAGAAAGAAATAATCTCCCCCTTCACCCTGCTGTCAATAAGCCTCCCTGGCGCTGGCGTGGATGGAACCTTTGCTTGCTGCTGCAGCCTCGTGGCTCGGGAGCATTTGACTGCGTGATAAGAAATTGCCAGGCGCTTTCTAATTACAATTATCATCATCGTGGATGTCTCTCTTAATTACTTTCTTATAATTAGCTGTTGCTTTTTCCTCAGCATTTGTGTACTTTTCAGATTTGCTGACATTTGAGAGCCCCAAAATAGGGACAATTGGGGAGGGGGGGGCAGAAAGGTGGGGGAAAGGTGCCCGTTCTCTTCCGGCAGCCTGGTACATTTGGGCGCCTTTGCAGAAAGAAGTTGAGGCCGGAAAAAGGAAAGGAACAGGTGACTGATGGAGCAGGTGGGGTGGGAGCACAGGAGTGGGACAGTGGTTTGCAGAGTACTTCAGAGGTTTAAGCGTATGGAGGGGCTAGTTTTGAAAAGCCACTGAGGCCCATTTCTTGGGCTTGGGTTTCATCTTAGGATGTGACACTGGACATCAGTTCATTTCAGAGCTAGGCCACTCGCACCATGAGGGACTTGATTTTTCGTCCTGAGCATCTCTGGCACCGGGGAGCTATGACAAGGTGGGTGTTGCTCCTCGCCCAGGGGTTGGTTTTCACTGTTCTGTTCTCTCTCCCTCTCTCCACGCCCCTCAGCCCTGTGTACGGAGGAGTGCGTGCACGGCCGCTGTGTCTCCCCGGATACCTGCCACTGTGAGCCTGGCTGGGGAGGGCCTGACTGTTCCAGCGGTGAGTCTGGTGTCTTTGAGGGTCAGGTGGCCCACTGGTTATGACTTGGGAGAGGGCTGGGGCATGTGCATGCTTATCCTTGTGTTAGGATAGGGTGACTTAGGATGGGCTGCCTGAGCTGGCATGGGCCGTTCATGTGTGAAGGTATTTGTGGGGGCGGCAGGCTCTAGGGGGTATGGGGTGGTGGTTTAGGGGGGGTCTATGAGGGTCTGTGTGTTTAAAATAAGGAATTGTGGGGCCATCTGTACTACTGTGACTTTGGATGGAACACCTCTGGATGGTCTCTGCGAATTGAAGTGAACTTGGGGTGCTGCCAAAGGGTGCAGGCGCTGGAGGTTACCGTGATCTAGTTTGTCCTTGGCTTTGCTGGTACAAAGGCTTAGTTTTCTGGGTGTCCACAGAGGCACAGGGGGACTGATTTATGAGACTGGTGGACACTGAGATATCTCTGTGCCCCTAAAGGTAGGAGAAGGGGACGCTCGTGGGAGCAGGTCATTGTGTTCCTTCATCCTTGTGCATAGATGGTTCACATTCTCCTGGGAAGCTTCCTGGTGAACATGGAATGAGGAGGGTGCTCTTGGGGCTAACCAGTGACCCACAATAGCCTGGGGTGTCATCTCTACTATGCGGCTGGTCACCAAGAGGATGAGGTGCACCTGGCAGCTACCTGTGGAATTCTCTTCCAAGACCCCAGTTGAATAAAGATCCTTCCCCTCTCCACTCATTTCCCCCAGTGACCCCTTTCCATGGGCACACTCTGCAGTCAGTCAGTGGTTGGTTAATGTCACCATCTTATTTGATTTTCAAAAGGCCCTGACTAGTGCTGAAGCCCAAGTTCCTTCCGGCTTTGTTCTGGGGTAGAGTGTTTTTTAATGGTGACTTGGGTAGACACCACAGCCAAGCTAATCCACTAGGGATCTAAGCCCCACAATTTACCCATCTTGGGGAGCCACCTCCATGTTCCTTACCCCATACTGACTGTGATGGTCATGAAAACCCGGAGAGAGCAAGTCATGAGAACCTGGGTCCATGCTGGTCTCCTGGGGTCTCTTGCCCTCTCTCACTCCCTCTGCTGGGGTGGAAGCTTCCTCTTATGGTCCTTTTCTTTTCTTTTAAATATTTTTTGAGTTATATATGGACACAATATCTTTATTTTGTTTGCTTATTTTCATGTGGTGCTGAGAATCGAACCCAGTGCCTCCCATGTGCGAGGCAAGTGCTCTGCCTCTGAGCCACAACCCCAGCCCTACTTATGGTCCTTTTTTCCAAAGGCCTTGTGTGGAGCCCCCTGTCCTCCCAGAGTCTGAGAACATGCTGGCCAAAGCAAGGCCACTGGGTGTGTGGCTTTGTGTCTTGGTGATTATCTTGGCCTAGGGAACCCAGGATCCAATTGGGGTATCCAAGAGACCCTCTCTAAAGTGTGAAGACTCCCCAGTGGCCATGGTGGTCTCCTGCTTTCACCTGGTCTGGCACTTTGAGGTGGGCTGTCACCGAGAAGAGGGCCAGACAAGGAAAAGTGAACCCCAGGGACATGTGAGTTCAGGGCACGTTCAACCAGTTTTCTGTGGACTAGAACTACAGGAAATGTGTTGGGTGACATGTCTAAAGGCTCCCCCCTCGTCCATGCTTTGTTTCCCATAACATGGCTTACAATGAATCTTTGATGAAGAACCATCTAAGCTGGAGGAGGAGAGCCCTCCTGGGATGGTCTACTGCTGGCTCCCTGCCAGGGGCAGCGCGTCACAGACTGAACCGCAGCCCGCCTCTCAGGGACCCCGGGCGAATGTGAATCACCAATCAGTGCAAATGTGGTTAGTTCTTGCGCTGATGAACAGGACTCAGATAGGTCTCGCCCCAGAGTGAGGGTACCAGACACACAGGCAAGCAGCCCTGTTACTCACCAGCTGTCTAATAACCCCCAGCGCAGTCATCAGACTCAGTGCCCAGAAACCCACAAGCTATTTCCTCTCCATTAGATCCACCTGCATGGGCTGAAGGGCCACCACTCCTGGGTCCATTCAAAGGCATGTATTACTGAACCCACAGGAAGTCCTAGAAGATGGAGCCCAGCATCACTGGGTCAAGGGGGCACCCATAGATTCTCACTTGCAGTGTTGTTCAGGCACAGAAGGTTAAATGCCCTCCTAAGAGCTCACCGACCTCTGCCTGCGTCCCTCTAGTGACAGGTTGCTCGCTGCTGCTGGGAGGCATGTTCTGACTGGGGGTCTATCCAGGGGGAGGTTTCCCTTCTGTGCAGTGTAGCTCTGCCTCTGGGTTTACTGGTGACTTCTCACTCATGCTAAAGGCCAGGCAGGGTGACGGGTCACCAGGACCTTCCTTGCCATTCCAATTTCTCCGCAGAAATTCTCTGGACAAGGCTGCAAGCTCTGTGTACACAGTCATCTCAGAGCAGTTGATAGCCATTGCTGGGGAGGAATGGAGGACACCAGGGTCCCTTCCAGGTCAGCCCTTCAGGTGTTAGAAGACAGCCTGCACCTCCTCCCCCTGCTTTTCTTCTCTAACCTGCTTTGATTGTCTTATGACATCACCGACCTGTCTTCCCGTCTGGTTTCTTCCCAGTGCCTGTGGCCTTTATTCTTTATATATACATACTTGTTTGTTTGTTTGTTTTAGTTGTAGTTGGACACAAAACCTTTATTTTATTTTTATGTGGTGCTGAGGATCGAATCCAGGGACCCGCACATGTTAGACGAGCGCTCTACCACTGAGCCACAACTCCAGCCCCTGGCTTTTATTCTTCTTAAAAATCATTCCTACACCTGACCACACACCTGCAGCCTTGGTCTGAGCAGTGGAAAATTATAATGGAGACTGCTACCATAAACTGAATTTTACTATGTATCAGTCCTTTGCCTATCTACTCATTTAATCTTCACAGCAAACCTATAATGTAGGAATTATTAGACCCATTTTACAAATGGAAAAATTAAAGCATAAGGAGGTTAAAGAATTTCCAAAAGAATTGGGTGCAGAGGCACACACCTGTAATCCCAGCTACTCAGGAGGATGAAGCGGGCGGGGGGGGGGGGGAATCTAAAGTTTGAGGCCGGCCTGGACAATTTGGTGACATCCTCTCAAAATAAAATTTAGGAAGTGTTAGGAATGTAGCCCAGTGGTAAAGCACCCCTGGATTCAATCCCCAGCCCCCCAAAAGAGAGCTTCCAAAATACATAGCTAGTAAATGGTATAATTGGGACTATCTCTCAAGCAAAAACCTGGGTCCTGATTGGAACTCTTAATTATTACACTCGCCTTCCCTCTGTTGATATAGTCTAAGGTTGAAATAGATATTTGATGTGAAAACATGATTGCTCACAGGGGAAGGAGGGATCTACCTAAAAAGTATGGCCCTGAGGTATGGTTGTGGAGGCAGAGAAACCAGCCACAAAAAACTAATTGTTATCAGGTTTTCTTTGAGCCATTTGAGCTTGCGTGCTTGTTATTGTTCGGTCGGATACCTGTGCTCTTCAGTGTCTTAGGGTCTCTACAGGGCCATGTCTTCGGGGACAGGTGTCTCAGTCAATGCAGTGAGTATCTCTGGAGGCCTCTGAATGGGGTCTGTACATATGACACCCTTGCAGAGGAGCCTAGGTTGTTTTTTCTCCCTGTCTCTTAAGCTACACCTGTTTGTGTTGAAAGGAACGTCCTTGGGAGACTGAGGCAAGAGGATTGCAAGTTCAAGGCCAGCCTCAGCAACTGAGCGAGGCTAAGCAACTAAGTGAAATCCTGTCTCAAAATAGAAAATAAAAAGGGCTGGGGAATGTGAGTCAGTGATTAAGCACCCCTGAGTTCAATCCCTGGTGCCAAAAAAAAAAAAAAGAAAGAAACAATGAAAGAAAAAGTAAAGAAAAAAAGAAACGTCAAATTGCATGGAAAAGGCAGACAAAAAGGGTGAAATCCACACACCCAGAGGTAACTACCACTGGGGCCTAGGTGCTTCGCCCACCATCCATGGTTTCTCTACACAATTGCACATAGAAGCAGGTCTGGACCCCATGTATGTGCTAGTCTATCACTTGCTTTTAAAATTTACCTTTAAGTCATGTGCTCATTTCCTTCATCAACTTGTAAATTTTTAATGGCCTTATAAAATTTCATCCCATGGATTTCCAAATGTATTTAACCAGCCCCTTGTTGATGAGCATTTAGGTCCTTTGTGATTCTCCACTCTTCTGTGCCCAGCGTCTTTTCCCCAAGGAGCCTTGTGCCTGTTGGTCTCAGAATGAAGAACTTCCCACGGTTTAGAAAGTAGGTGGTGGCCCTGACATTTGTGAGCTACCCCCACAGGATCTGGGCAGCACCCTGGGTAAAACAGTAATATTTCTGAAGTGACATACGACTGATCAGATCTAGTGACATAAAGATGATATATAACCTCAAATCAGTTCCCTGTAGATTTACCTCTACGTGAATTCTTGTGCAGAACTTCAAAAATATTTTTTGGACTTTTTAGAGATTCTGGGTTTATGGACATGTGAAGAAGGACCCGTGGCCCTGTGTGAAAGGCTGCAGCAATCCTTCTTATGCATAAAAGGCCCACGAGATCCAGGTTCTCCTTAGGATAACTTCATGGATGTGGCAGGGAAGGGTATAAAAATACATCATCCTACTCCCTGCCCCTGCCCTGCCCTTTTGGCTGCCAAAGGATTTATGACTTTGACAGTCTTGAAGCAGGCAACTCTAGTACCGAGGTAGGGGTAGGGCTTTTCATTCTTTTACAGACTTATGACCCCATAGCCTAATTTCTTTAAGGCCTCAACTAATTTCTTTCTGCTCCATAAAAGAAGAAGGCAGACACGTCAGCTTTGTGGATCATTCCAGGCTGTTAGATGGACCCATATGGGGAAATGGAGTGGCCACACGCTTGGTCATAAACCTCGATCCCATATAATAATGAAGAGTAAAAGGATGAAATGTCAGTTTATACTGAATAAAGACGACAGAGTGACTCTTATTAAATTGTGCTAATCTCACAAGTGGAGATAAAAAGAAAAGAAGTTTTCCTATATTGAATATCTAGCTT